GCCCATCGCTGGATCGGAAACCTCCTCCTGGCACCAGCCCCTCTCCCTTTCTCTTTTGAACTTTTAAAAAGGCCCTTCTTGACCGGGAAAGCTGATCTCACTGGGAATCTGCTCCATACCGATGCAAGCTCTGCTGTTGCAATTACTCCTTCGGCTCAAGCAAACAAAAATCCCCTCAGCTCCCCCCTGCACCTCCTGGCTGAATCTGAATTTGTTTCCCATTGCCCCTCCCTTTCTTTCCTTTTGGGTTGGTGGTTTGTTGTTTTTTTTTTTTTTCTTTCAAACAAGAGCGCTCCCCTATGAAAATGATGGCAATGCATGCAAAGCGCCACTGGTTATATCAAGCTGTGATTGAGTGCCAGCGCAGGGCAAAGCTTTTGAAATCAGGCAGCAAAGCGGAATCAGCAGAGGTCGGCTGAATAACCCACTTGTAGTTATTAACAGCAGTACCACAGGAGAAAGAGCAATTCCACTGGCTGTGACCAGTGGCATTCCTCTTATGTTTCTCCATTTCTTCTCTTTGCTGGTCTCAGTGTTGCTTGGGGGTTGTTTGGCCTGCCCATGCTGACCACTGCTCTATTACTGTATGCAAATTTAATTGGACAAGGTCAGCTGGAAGAGGAGAACTGTTACCTGCTGGGGGAACAGCTTCTTTGTCCGGAAATCTCCTCTCCCCTTTACGCTGCGTTCGCTGGGGCAATGCTGTGAAGCTCAGTTCTGCTTCTCAACCATCGGCACTGCTGATGGTTGATGAAAACGCATCGCAGGCCTTGTGCAGAGGCAAGCAGGCTTGGGACGAATTCAGTGCTTGCCCGGGCAGGTTCGGTTCCTTTGAGTTGCATCTCCATCTGAGCGCGATGAATTTGGCTCCCGTTGCTTGACGCAGCTTGTTGCGGTGTGCCCCCACGTGTGCGGCTGTTGTGTGGCTGGGTGCTGGAGCACAGCCGGCAGCAGGGTACCTCGGCTCTGAGATTAGCACTGCCTGGGTAGATTTAAGCTAGCTGGAAAGGCAGGCCTTATGTTAAACCCAAGACCCAGAAATCTCAAAACTCTGATATTGTCTTGCTTGAGTCATCTTTGTTGGTTTTGACCATGTTCTATGTCTGTTGTGTGTTTTTCTGTTATCTTCTGTAGCATGAACTTTTAGGCTGAAAAGCTAAAAATTCATTCCAAGGACAAACCCCAAAGCCAAAATCAAGCCAGATGTCCCTTGAGGTGAACCAGGAGTAGGTACCAGACAGCCCTTGAGAGAGCGTTCTCTTTTGGAGATGGTGTTAGTTGTATGCTGCCCCACATTTCTCGGCACTTTATCAGATATTTTCAAGCCTTGGTCCCTTTTATGTCTGATTTCTGTGAATGTTTAAGGGCCTGGATTTTACTGGAGCAAAAACTCATGTAGAGAAAGTTGCAAACTGGTAGTGATTGTTAAATTCTTTGCCATTGGTATTTAACCTCGCTATGCCTTTCCTTAATTGTAACAGAAACAATCACAGTCACTACTTCTGATCCGACTAATTGCAGCAAGGCACTCGGACTTGGTATTTTTGGCCGCTGAATGATTGCCATCTACTACCCACAGGAAAGCTTTACATGGAAGCAGAGAGGAAAGAAAAACTTTAAATCCGTTAACAAAGTCATAGAAATGCAACCCGCTCCTGGTGGGTTTTGTGGGCAGAAACTGTTTTGGGAATTATTTGTTTAAATTAATAGAAAAATGTCCTGTTGTAAGAATCCCCACTGATCCCAATTGCAAGGGTAACACGTAGGGAGAAAAAGTGCTTATAATTGAAACCATAGAGGGCTTTATAGATAAACCCAGCATTCCTTATTGCCCGGTGCAAGGCAGATGAGGAGCACAGCGTAACCATCTGGTGCCTTTTGCAGTAAATGGGGTTTGCAAGCCCTCTCCGAGTAGAGGGCGTTGCAGTAATCCAATCTGGAGGAAGCGATACGAAGGTATCTACGGGATGCTGATCGCTCCGTGCTGCAGCGGGGTACTGCAAACAAATGCTTCTGTGCAGAGCCCCTTGCATTTGGATAACCTGCCTCTTTCAGTCATCTAGAGTCCTGGTGAGAAGAGATGGGAGGAAGAAATGAGCCCTGTTCCGAGCTGTTCTTTGCTTCCCTCTTGTTCAGACTGCCCTGCTGAGATGGGAAGCTGGTGGAATATTGACTGGTGTTTAGAGAGTTCAGCTTCCTTTGTGAGAGTGGCAAGCCAGGTGACAGACACTGAAAGGCCTTTCTTAGGTGTTCAGCACATGAAACAGTGCTTGCCTAATCTTAGCTTAAAATCTTCTGATCAAAGACACATTGTGTGCCCAGTAAACGAAGAGGGAGAGGGAATTATTGTGCTTTTTCAACAGGAGAAGTTTTTTTTCTAATAATCCCCCTCTCCAGCTTTTGAACAGCCTTTCTTATGTCTGAAGCTGTAAGGTTTAAATTAAACTGGGACGTTGTCTGCTGTAGCCAGCTTTTGGAGCCTGCTGCAGCATCGTGCTGCACTGCTCCTCCTAAAGCATCCCCTTTCCTCCAGCTCGCTGCATTCCCCCAGCCAGGCTGTTCAGCTGCTCTCTTGATCTTTCCTTCCCCAGTAGCAGATGTGCTGGAGGATCGGAAGGGAGGAACTCACAGATAAATGTGTTCCCATAAAACAGAGCCCTCTGTTTTACTCAGAGGTAAATGTGTTCCCTTGGTCAGATCTCCAGACAAGGGTGACTCAGATGCTGGATATATCTTTATTTTGGGGTATGGCAATGATACCACAGGGCTCTGCCTTCTGAAACCGTTGAGCCCCGAAGTAAATGGAAGCATAACTCTGTTTTGTTCATTCTGATGCCTCAGCCATGCCTTCCCTATCCATCTGTGCATGGAGCCCACACCTTCCTTTTGTCCCAAATGCCACCCTAACTGCCTTACTTGGCCTTGAGATGTCCCAGGGAATCTTGAATCAGGATGTGCCATTGGAAGGTGGAAGTGAAGGAAGGTTTTAGCACTGCAGATGAAGACACTAAAGTTTTGATAATTGTCTTAGTTAGCTTTAAAGCAAGTTTTACTTTAGAAACTTGGTAAACAAAATGTCTGGTACCAGCTGGCCCTAGTTGTATTTGGAGTTGGGAACGCACACAGCGCAGCAAACACGGACACAGAGGCAAATGCCTTAGACTCATCTAGGTTGAATTTGGTTTTTTTGGACTGCATCCTGCTGTCCATGATGCTTCCCAGGGTGGAATTCAGATCTAGTCATTAGTTGCTATTTCCATGGGTATTTTCAAGGGCATCAGTATAAATGTCTCAACTATCTTGTGCTTGGTTTTGCCCAGTAGCTCCTCTTTCTGTGCTTGTGGATGTTTGTTGACACCCTACTTGGACTTTGATGTTGCTGATTTCAAGGCTTAAGAGTGGTGCATGATCTCTCCTTTGCTGTCTCTTGATGTTTTATCATCTATGGAGTAGTTTGGTTGTTCTTTTTTGTCAGCCTCTTCCTTAGCTTACAGGTAGAAACCATTTTGAAGGCTGAAAGCCAAATTAAATAATCTTTCCAAACAGTGCTTTTTAGAGGAGAATAAGAACCAAAACTCACTTAGAGCAGTGTTTATAGGTTTGTTCCTGTTATCACTTTACACCAATATAAGATTGGAATTTCTGACAAAATGGAAGCCTTTTCTGTGGACTAAAGCAGTTGCTGAAGCAGCCTCCTGCCTCAGTCTTTGGATTGCTAGTGCCGAATCGGCTGTGCTGCTTTGGACTCTGAACTGGATGAGCCTGGAGACCCGAGTGTCTAACTCGCAGTGTATCATTAGGTAGCCCGAGGTCCCCTCCTTGTTGCGAGAGACTGGCTGATATTGGGAGGGAGGAGGGGAAAATGATTCCAGGACACCTGTAAATCCCTGCAGTTTCGTGCTGAGGGTTTGATGTTAATTAGACAGCAGGCAGCAGTAATGTGTTGCAGTTCCCTTGGCTTGCCTGTTTCAGAAAGGGCAAAATCTTCCAACAGAGCAATGAAGGGGCTGTTGAAGGGGCAGCAAACTGAATGGAACGACGATAATTTTATGCAAATTGGACTTCAGTAGCAGATTCAGCTTGGCTGAGTCACAGAGGGAGCAGAAGAATAAGGAAAGAAAGAGGGAGAGGAAAAACCCAATCAAAATGTATGGTTTGAGGCGTGTTTCACAGCCTTCTGTTTAGATTCTTCTACAGAAATGGAGAAACATAAGAGGAATGCCACTGGTCACAGCCAGTGGAATTGCTCTTTCTCCTGTGGTACTGCTGTTAATAACTACAAGTGGGTTATTCAGCCGACCTCTGCTGATTCCGCTTTGCTGCCTGATTTCAAAAGCTTTGCCCTGCGCTGGCACTCAATCACAGCTTGATATAACCAGTGGCGCTTTGCATGCATTGCCATCATTTTCATAGGGGAGTTGTTTGAAAAAAAAAAAAAAAAAACAACAAACCACCAACCCAAAAGGAAAGAAAGGGAGGGGCAATGGGAAACAAATTCAGATTCAGCCAGGAGGTGCAGGGGGGAGCTGAGGGGATTTTTGTTTGCTTGAGCCGAAGGAGTAATTGCAACAGCAGAGCTTGCATCGGTATGGAGCAGATTCCCAGTGAGATCAGCTTTCCCGGTCAAGAAGGGCCTTTTTAAAAGTTCAAAAGAGAAAGGGAGAGGGGCTGGTGCCAGGAGGAGGTTTCCGATCCAGCGATGGGCTGTGTGGGGTTGGCTGTGGGCACGCTCCCTCCTCAGCCGGGCCCTTCCTCAGCTCCCAGACCCGCTCCCCGGGTGCAGGTCGTGGCACGGGTGCTGGCTCGGGGCTGCACAGGCTGCCTGGCTGCTGAGGGTTGGTTTGTCAGAGCTGCAGGGCTGTAGCTCGGTGCACTGTAGCTCCTTTTCGCCAGGCCTGACTGTACTGCGAATAGCAAAGCTTTACCTCTCAGTGCACTTCAGTGACGAGCAGCAGTGCAGCTGCTGGCTCCACAGCTGTGATGACCTGTGGATAGAAAGGCAGCCCCACTGCGAGCAGCTCGAAGACTGTTTCTCTGTTCTGACACCTCCAGCCACCGGGTCTTCTGTTTTCCTCATTGTGACTCTCGCCACAGTCTCTCACATCGGTGCTGAGCGGCTGGAGAACAGTTCCTGGAGCAAGGCAACGGGGTGCCCTTTTTGAGACAGAAAGGAACATTTATTATGCTATTTTTTTAATGTCTGTTTGCTGAAAGCATTCCGGGGACTGCTACACAAGTGTACCAGGTGTCGGAACTGCCAGTCCTCTCCAGAGGGTTTTTTTTTTTCCAACTGTGGTAGCTCCCGTGCAGCTTTCCCACCGTTTGCCGAGCTAGCAAAATAATCTCAACCCTCTGAGGCCTCGTGGCCCTTTTGGTCCTAACCACAAGCTCTACAGCACAGTGTCTCTTCCCACTGTCTCCACATGAAATTCAAAATTTGGGTTATTTACCACTGAACAGATACATCTTTAGGCCAGTTTTCTGCTGTCTCCTGGATGGTTTAAGGAGATGATGGGAACTTTTTGTGCCTCTACCAGTAATGCACCAAACACACAACCTTGCGGTGAATATGACTCTGCTGTGACCAAACCAGTGTGAGAACAGGACCAGGTGCAGTCAGTGTATTTAGCGGTGTGACCATGGAAATATACTGGTCATTAAGTACTGAAACTCACGCCCAGTAACTTGGGGTCTCGCTTATGGTCAAGGATGTTAAGAAACTCTGTGATTTGATCTCCCACAGGTTTCAGCAGGGAAGGGGAGAGTGAATGTCCAGTTACATGCTCCCTGAAGCTTTGCTTTCGATCTTTCCATGTTTGCTCATTTCTTTGCACAAGCCTGTGTGCATGCGTTTTGTGTTTTGTGGTTTTGGTTTTTTTTTTCCAGTTTAATCTTTACTGTTTTGAATGTCAGATCACAGCAATGTTTACGTCTCGCGTGGAGCAGTGCACCACTTTATGCTTTCATGAATGCAGCTAGCATGGGCTAGACTCTGCTGTTCGGTTCCTTTCTGTCTTACGTGCGTCACCACGCCTGAGGCTGCATGCAAATATGTGAAGAGTTGGGCTGATGTTATAAAAGGAACTGTAAAATTTTCCTAAAATTAGCCTTAAGTTCTGCTTGTTCTTTTTGGTATTCAGGGCCTTGAATGCTGAAAATGCCAAGTATTACGTGGTGTTTCTCTGTGCTTGCTTTATTACTACATTGTTGTGGGAGCCAGTGCGTGGGCTGCTGCCTAGCACAGAGCTTTGGCAATGAGGACTTGCCTTGTTTTCCTGAACCTGTTGCAAAATCTTCCTGTGTGAGACGGGCACTTTTTGCATCTGTGCTGTTTGCCCTTCTGCCCGGGAGTGCAAACTCCCCCCTCTGGTCTTGCTTGTGAAGCTCACTGGGTGTCTGCAAAAGGCTTGAAGCAGATGTGATAAATGATGCTGTAGAAACGCAGGGTACCTTGCAAACACGATGTCTTTTCCTGGGGTATATTATTTGCATGTGATGTGCATGGTCTGTGCTCATTCCCATGGCAGCCGTGGCAAGCGAAGTCAGGTGGTGGGTGCCTTCTCAGGGGCAACTGAAATTGAATTCTGCCTGATACCTGATGGTTGACAAATTTTGGTTTAATAAATTGTAATCTTGTTGCTGGTCTCTGTATCAGCTTGATGATAGTTCTTTATTATGGCTTTCACTAACCAATCTGTAACTAACTGTGGTTGTTTAATTACAGAGGGAACATCCCCACGCTAAACAGGTATGGTACTTGTAATCTTTTAAAATTTGAAAAGACAGACTAGAAAGAAGTAGCCTAATACTTAATGTTTTAACATGTTTTGTTTTAGTGCCCTTACCTTTACTCAGAAAACTCTCCAACATAACTCTTCTTTTTCCTTCCCTTTTCCTCTCCCTTTGTCTAAAACATGTTTTCAGCTTTTCTTTAGCCTTTAAAAAAAGCTTTGCATGCTGCAATCTTTACAATTAAATTTGCCAGGTGACTCGGCTCATCTGCTGCATGGTACACAGCAAACTTCTAGCAGAGTGCTGTTTCTAGGGTCTCTTTTTTGGAACTGGACTCCCAGCTGTTGACCCTCTGCAGGGTGTCACAGTGAAACAGGCAGTCACTCCTAGCCGATAGCATACCTGTTGCTACTCTGGTTTCTTGCAACTAGCTTAGAATTTGTCGAGGCTGTTTCACCTCCCTCACACCATAGATGAATCTACATCTCAAACAGCTGACAGCATGTTTTGTTGTGTTTTGGACGCTAATTTTTCCTCCCATGTCTCGGTAGAAAAGTATTTCTTGTTTTAAATAATACATGAAAAATGTCTGCTGTCTTTTTGTTTAGTTACTGTTCTGTGGTATTTTTTTTGTATTAGTTTTAAGAAATGTACACCAAGGCATGTCCTGAAAAATTTTTCTCTTTCAAAACATGAATACCTATTATTTATTACTGCTTACAAGCCTATTTAGGGAAAAATAGTAAAAATGGACTTGAAAGTCTCATGGCTCTTAATCAGAGATAAATTACGGAAACACAGAGTGACTTTAAACGTGGAGAGCTATTAATCAATCTGATGATACTTTAGACTTGTTAACAGTATACTTAAGACCGTATCACAGTGGGTTTTTGGGAAGAAAGAAGTCTTAGTAAAGCAGATAAGCAGCAGTGCCACAGCCTGCAGTTTGCCCCCGGATCGGCGTGCCCAGCAGCAGAGCCGTAGCCGGCGTGTCCGGGCCCCTGTCTGCCCGCTGTGCCGCTGGCGCCTGACCCAGCACCGCACTCGAGCAGCTTTTTGACTTTACAAGTTGGAAGTCAAGCATGTGCTGTGCTGAATCAGCGCTCCGATTTGTCGTTTTGTTTTTTTTTTTTCCCCATTGCCTTCTGCCTCCTGTTGTGGCACCAGTTGGGGATAAGCCCCGGGGAGAGCGAAGCAAGTGGGAGTGTGCTGTTCCTGTGCTGCAGAGCACTGCCGTGTGCCACCTCGGCATCTCTGTCTCCTCAGAACAAGCTTCAGGGTCTCACCATGTGGCAGGGAGCGTTTGAAGTAGGTCCCTCAGTGAATTAAGATGACTCTGTGGCACAGTTCAGAAACGAGAAACAATTATTGCAGAGAAGGCAAAACCCAGTTCTAGTAGCTAGGGAGAGGCCGTCTAGTTAGTTGTATGGTTTTTGTTCACTGTGTGAGAAACTTCCTATGCTAGTCTTGACCATTACGTTGTGGGTCTTTAAAAAAAGCATAATAACAATAGCCCAAACCCCAAAATACCACAATTTCAGAGCTGGTGTGCGCTGCCATAGCAGTTGAACTGTAGGAGAACTCAGTGATACTTTCACATGGACCTTGCCCTCTGCCAGGCAGCAGTGCTGACCTTTAGTGAGCGGTGCTCCTGCTTCAAACAGAAGTGCCTTCCTCAGTGCCTTCCTCTGAGCTTGTGTAAATCTGCTCCAGCGCTCCTCCCTTCAGCGAGGAGTTGGTCTCGTAGGAGCGGGGTGCGTACCGCAGCGTAGCACGGTGCCGGGGCAGGAGTAGGGCAGCAGGGAGTGTCTGGAGCTCTGCCTCCCTCCCTCCTTGGGAGAGATGTGTTCTGGGGCCAGCTGCTCCTGTTTAGCAGCTGCCACCTTTTACCAATCAAAACTGAGCAAAATAATTGGGTAGGGGGGAGTTGCAGTGTTTTTAAAGCATGGATCAAATTAGATGGAGGAGCGTGGTAATTTGGTCAGCGGAAGGCACTGTAACAGGGCTTTATTTAGGGTAGGAACACTAGTGTAAGGCTACAGAAAACCCCGTCTGCAGTGTAGGATTTTAGAGAGGCCGGTGTACCACACCGCATTTGAGGAGTGTAAATTATAGTATGGCCAGAAAAATTGTGGAAGCAATGAGGAAATATAGATTGGTACACTTCAACTAAATTTATAAAAATTTCCTAAACCTTTAAAGTGTCAAAGCTTAGAATTATTGTTGTTTATCTCAGTATTCCACCTGTAAAGCAAAACATACCCACAGGAGGAAAAATACGTTCAGCTTTGCATAGTCATAATTCCCCTGTCATCTCAAGAAACTCCTTAAGAAATACTTGTTTTAAAGGGTTATAACAGCATTTCCTAACTCCTTTAACTGTTCCTGTACACTGGGACACCGTCCAGGTAAGGGCATTAAAGGCACCAGAGGCATTCCAGCCTCGCAGGGACTTTGGAGAAGCCGGCACAGCAGGCCTGAAGATTCTCCCAAATCATGCAACAGTTATATTGGATAAAGAACCACGCTTCAAGTGGTCAGAGCACACGCACACGCACAGATCTTTTTTTTCCAGTGATACTCTTCTCTCCCTTGTCCCTACTAACTGTGATCTTATTGAATTGCCGTTTAGAATGTCCTTCTCTTCCAACCTCAATCACTACGGGATGGTCCATGTAGCTAGCGTGAGTGATGTACTGCTAGACAATTCCTTCACTCCGCCGTGCCAGCGGATGGGTGGAATGGTCTCCTTCCGCACATTTGAAGATTTTGTCAGGTATGTGGGAAAAGGGTGATGATTGTTTGTGTTGCCAGCTTCCTAGGTGGGCCCAAATGGAACTGGTCAAAATCTGGAGTGGCCTGGAGTCAGGTTTAAACTGGTCTTGAGGTTGTTTGCTGAGTTTCTGGAGTTAGAGGTGGAAGTTTATTTGGATCCCTTTGTCTCCTTGAGATAACTGCAAGTTTCAGACTGCTGTAAGAGCACTTTGCAGCCAGAAGGATCAGCATCTTGAATTTCTGCTGATTGGAGATCATTTGCAAATGTGCTGATTTCTTCTAGTGCTCTTGTTCACGCATATGTATGTGGGAGGATGTGTTCTTTATGCTTTCAACCTTCAAGGGGGAGGCAAAAAAACCCCAGCAGAGCCCATAGCAGTCGTGAGGGCCTGCCAGTGTAAGATCTCTGACAAATGTTAGAAGATCCAGGCTCGGCTTTGGTTTGAGGGGTGGAGGAGGTGTTGCCTCCTTATCTTTTTAGTCCTGAAAAAAAAAAAAAAGGAGCCTTTTTTCTCTCCCTCCCTCTTTAGCAGCATGATTTGTGGATTTTAGTGCTGTGTGCTTGCAGTGGGCTAGCAGCAGTGTGGTGATGACTAATACTTCTCTGGTGTGTTTCAGAATCTTTGATGAAGTGATGGGTTGCTTCTGCGACTCTCCTCCCCAGAGCCCAACCTTCCCCGAAGCTGGCCATGCTTCCTTGTATGATGAAGACAAGGTACAGTGGTTTTTGCCTCTTGAGATTGCTCTCAGGGTGGAAATAGAAGGCGTGCAAATGCCGCAGTGACTGCAGGCTAGATACTTTTCACTAGTTCGAGTGCTGGAAGCAGGAGTTAAGAGCTTTATGTATTTATGTATGTGATTTGTTTGCTTGTTCCGCAGCAGGTGATTCAAAGTAGGTGGCCATTTTCTGGCTCCGTTCTAAAACTATGCCTGAGTCTCATACTCTCAGTGTAAATTTAGTTTGAAGCTTTTGATGTCAGCAGAATAACCGGCTCCACAGCAGTGTAACTGAGTTTAGACCCATGATTAAGTTTCCAGACCTTCTCTGTGCATCGGGGTGTAGAACTGCCTATTCAACTGCCTTTACCTTAAGTCTGACTTGCTTATCTCGTGTCTTACACCCTTCCTAGTCACATTACATTCTGATTCTTCCCTCTGTTCTACTGCTTAGAACTAGTTTTTGGAGGAAAAGATGAGAGGAACCCCTCAATTTTTGTACTGCTGTGGAGAACAGGTGCAGAGGCAGCAGATGGTTTCTAATCCCTAGTGACAGACCAGTTTCCCTTGGAGACACAGGTAGCTGCTCCGCTGCTCTGTCCTTCCCCCAGCAGTGGGAAGCTCTGTTGGAATACAGTCTGTGTCCAGAACAGGGCTTGGTTTTAAACTGATCTTCATGTGTATAAGTACCGTAGCCTTGTTCCAGAATCTTACCATCAACCTTAATGTCCTCAGATCTCTCTCTTTACCTCCCCCTCACCTCACCGAGGATCATTTCATGTTCATACTCAGTTGTTCAGTTAACTGCAGGCTCTTAAATGCTAAATTCATCATTTCTCAGAGCTCCACTGTAATTGATGCTTCCACATTATTTCGTTATGTCGTAGATATGAAAAAATACATTGTTTTGCTCTTAACACTTTGAATTTGCTTAATTTTATTACTTTTCTTGATGCCAAAGACCTCTAACGTCCTGCCTGTACTGCGTTCTGTAAAGAGAGGACCTGATCCTGCATTCTTTCTGCATCCAAATGGAGCACACTTGGGTTAGCCAGGTCAGATGTGACCCTCAGAACTGGATTCTCCAAGTGAAGCTCCTGTTTGCCGTTTGTGGACATTAGCTCTTACTTCTGTCAACTTGCACATTTGTCAAGCAGCTTGGTCAAGAATTTCCCTCGTAGTTTTCCTTGGTTTACAGCATGCTCTGCTGAGGTCATTTTTCCCTAGAGCATCTGTATTTTAGAGTTGTATTTAGGGAGCCTTTCTTGAGAACTCACAGGTGTTAAGTTGTTAACTATTTATTTATGGGGAATATCATCTTTAAATTGCAGACTGCCCGCGAGGAGCCCATTCACATTCTTAATGTTGCTATTAAAACAGACAGTGATGTTGATGATGATGGACTGGCAGCCATGTTCAGAGAGTTCACGCAAAGCAAGGTAAGTTGCCTTAATTCTCTCTCTGGAACTGTGTGACTGTGCTGAGCAGTTCTGTCTGCTTTGGGAGCAAGTCAGTATGTTCCTCAGTTTTTTGGGGTTTTGTTTTGTTTGTTTTTCAAAACAAGCAAATGCAACAGTTGCATCCTTAATTTATCCTGTCTAAAACCTTACCACTTCTTTGACTAGATGTGGCTGCACTTTTCCAAAGCCTCCAGGTCACTGTTTCTCTTTGCAGTGCATTCTAATCCATCAGGATCTTCCCTTTAAAGGTCTTTTACCCATCAAAAATTAAGGTTTTAAATGGATCAGATCCATCTTCAGTACCTATGTCCAGATGCTCTGAAAAAAATGTTCCGTATCCCTCTCCCTGGTGGTGAAGCTGTTGTTTGAGTGACAAAGGCATGGAAAGTGATGTTAAAAGGGCCTGTATTTTCTGTATCATGGAAATCTTAGTGCAATCAAAATTTGTTCTCCTTGTTGGCATGCTGGAACATCCACCTAGTGTCATATTTCTGTCACAAGCTGGAATTGGTTTGGTATGTTCTGTTGCTCCGTGATAAATAGGGGATGGACTTTAGTGCACTGGATATTAGTCCCATGGTCAGTCGTGAGGCAACATGGGCTGGTGAGAGCCTCCTCGTGTCCGCTCTGCTCTCTGGTGTCTGCCTGCACTTGCTCTCCTGCTTGGTGGGAAGAACTCTGCAACTGCCTTGGGGATGTGAGTGGCCCATCGGGCCCTGGGACCCTGCTGCCTCCCTGGGACCTGCAAAGACTGTGGGAGGACAGCGAGTAGTTTCTAACTTCCCAGTGTGGGAGGTGGTAAGACATTCTGCAGCAATGAGGGCTTCCAAAAATGGGGCCGGTGTCCATGCGACTTCAGCAGCTTCCTGTCTCTTTAAGCAGAGAAAATAATCAAATAGAAAAATTAAAACAAGTTCTGCTTTTCATCTGCTTGATCATGCTCCAGGCGTTTTATGGGAGGGGATAAAAGGAAAGAAATAAAAAAATTCCAAAACACATTAAACTATCAAATAGGTTGATCCAAATTGTCCAAATAATCTTCTAGTCCCAGCATGTTGTGTGTGGTTTTTTTAATAGAAATTAGGATCATATACTTGTAAATGACTTGTGGAGGAGATTGAGGCAGTCAGTGTAAATGGAGTTTCTCCAGGTGCTGATGGCTAATCGCTCTGTAATAGCTGTGGACTTGCTGTGAGACCCACATTATTACGATGTAATCAGAATCCTGTTGCTATGCTGTTATTGTCTGCCACTTGTGGAATTTTAAAAGCAATAACAATTTTTGCTTTTTAAATCATGGCATTATTGAAGTTATTTTCTTCCTCTTGCTATGAATATAGTCACTGATGCTCATTTTCAAAGGGCTTAACCTTAGTAAAACATTTCAGTCTGTGCCGAAAGGGGTTGTTTTGTTCCTGATCTAGCTGAGTTCTTGTTTCTTTTTTTTTTTTTTTCCCCTTTGCTTTTAAATTGGAAAAAGGAAGAGAAAGGAAAAAGTTTTAGAAAGAGGAGCAGAGTTATGAGATCTTAAAACTTCAAAAGATCAGTGGTGTGCCAGATACCGATGGCAGCACTCATTTGAAAGGTGGCGTAGTGGAATTTGATAAAGAAGCAACCAGAGTGGATGTTCTCTCACCTATTTGAAAAAAACCTAAGTAACACCTATCGTTTATTCCTTGCGTTAGTTCCTTTAAAACTCGTTTTCCATCATTTTCCATGGCCTTTGAATGTCCATGCTGTGCTCCCTTTAAAAAAAGACAAACTTTGACAAATGAACAGGAATATTTCCTGCAAGACTTGTGTATGACTTTCCTGCTTTACTTGTTAGCAAGGCTCAGCTGGAATACTCTGATGTTGCGATTTGGTTACCTCTTCAGATTTAATGTATTTGCTTGTGTGTGCTACTAGAGGAGCATCAGATGAGAAATCTTAGTGATGAGTAGACTGAAGTGGACTAGGGTCTTACAGCATAGATGCAGGAGGATCTGTAGAGGTTTTTCAGTTCATCGAAGACTTTGACATGTTTTTGATGCGTCCTTTTTCTGCTAATCCCGTCACCTGATTCCACCCTTTGCCTTCTCACAGAAATCAGTCCTGATTGAACATGGGATTCGGAGGCTGACTTTCCTTGTAGCACAAAAGGTATTTTGATATCTCTCATGCTGCCGAGAACTCTTTAGTTTCTAGCTCGTAATAACATTGACATTTGATGTGTTTTTCCCCAAATTAAATGCTGCGTTAACTATATTTAGTTCTCTCTTCACTGTTTTTGTTCTCTAAAATTTGAGATGGTTTTGATGAATTTGCTTAAGAAAATTAATTTACAATTGTAAACAATCTTGGCACCTCTTGTATTCTTGAATTAATTAATTTTTGATTTTCATCCTAATTGCTAGCTTTCTTCTGCTTTTTTTTTTTTTCTTCTCCTGTGTTTTTTATGTTTCGTTTGTAAGGACTTCAGGAAACAGGTCAACTATGAGGTGGATCAGAGATTTCATGTAAGTAAAAAGGGCCTAGAACACGGTGGTATTCTTGACCTGAGGCCAGGAGACACGTAAGTGACTCTAGGCTTCTCATTTGGTTCTTAGCCAAGCATTTAATGCCAGCATTGGTGTCAGAGTCGAGTGAAGTATTTAAACAAACATCTGACTTCAAACACAGGAGTGGGCCTTTTGCATTCGCTGGGGCCACTCACATGCTAAAGTCTCTCTTGTTACCTGGCTGAACTCACGACTGCCACATTAATAAAGATCTCGTTTGTTTCGCTATCGTTTTGCATTCTAAAATGTAATTATACAATTAAAATTCTGCATTTCTTATGTAGTGTGACTTCTTTAGGCTTCTTACTTAGAGGAATAATTGAAGTGCCTTGCTAAATTTCATATAATGGCTTAGTGATGTGGAAAATGTTTGATGCTCTTACTGCTAAGAATTACTTCCTTCCCCAGGGCTTGGGCACCAGTGAGGGCTAGTTTAGCCCTGTTTTCAAGGTGGCAATGTGAGGCCTGGGGCAGATTTTTATCCCTTGTGTATCTGCTTTACAATTCTGGAAGTTATTTGGAGTCTTGAAAGTACGTGAAATTCATCCTGTGCTCAATGCACCTGGTTTAGCAAGCCTTATGAAAGGAAAAGTAGTTTACAAATCAGCAAAAATAGTATTTGAACAAATGGGGGTGTCCCCACATGGGAATCGCTGCCTGCAGTACAGGTACAGATCAGTCAATGGCTTATGTAGTAAACTGGACTCTTTGCAAAGGTCTTGGGACCTTAAACAAGGTCTGGGCTTTAGATTTAAAAAAAAAAAAAACCAAAAAACAAAAGGAAATTTTAGAGAAGCGAATTGATATTTGGGGAATGAAAAATAATGAATAAGCACTGTAGCATGTGTCAGTGATCAGAAAGGAGGCAAAGAATGAAAGCAGTCATCACAAAAAGCTTTCTCTGAGCTGCCATGTAGAGCAACGGACTCTTAGGATGCTCCTAGTTGCTAAGCCAGAGGAGGCAGCGTGGGATGTCATCTGTCTGCAAAGTTTGTAGAGTACCTCTGAGATCTCCTGTGAGTGTCAGTCTTTGTTACTATCTCCTATTCTCTTCTGGTTATTACTGGACCAACTATTAACTTACCCAGGGCCTGGGCTTGGGTTTGTTTTTGTTTTAATTACAGTCTATATAATTAGTTCCCAGCATGTTGAGGTAATAGAGAGTTGCTCCAGCAAGCTTCCAATTTCCTCATCTCATTAGGTTTTTAACGTGATTATTAGTATAATAATCAACTATGATGATTTCTGTTGTAGCTTTTCACATTCTGTGGTTTGCAGGGTGTCTTGATTGGCTAATTTAGGCAAATTATTTTGATTGTCTTGATGATGGTTGGTTGATTAGAACACAGCAGGGGTATAATTCTTCTGCCTAGGAAATGGAGCACTCTTTTTGGATTTTGGTACCAAAGCACTGAGAATTTTTGTGTGCGTGCACATCTAATTATTATATTTGCCCACAACACTCGTCAGATGCCTTGAAAGCAATTCCATCAGTGATAGAATGAGCATGGGTGATGTTAGGAGAAATTGGCAGCGCAGGGAAGGACAGGTAGGAGGGAGTTGGAAGAGAAGCGAGGCAATATGGAAGTGGTTGTGTTCTTAGAGTGTAGTTGATGCTCACAGGCTCACCTAACATGCCCATTGCCTGAATTTTCAGGCTGGATTTCTTGTACCACTGGCTAGTCTGGCAGACACACTCCAGGCAAACACACGAGTTATTTTGCTCAACTGAGAGTCATCAGGTGAAGTTCTGAGGACTGTTTTTTTTTTATAGGAGATAAGGAAGATGACCAGCTAGAAGATCACTTCCAGCCTTAAAATCTGTGTTGCTCTATGGAGCCTTGTGCTCTGTCACCGTGCACTGGTTGTTGCCCTGAATCAAGCTAGGCTGGCAAGTCTTCCATTGGGAGTGAAATGCCTTTCTGAAATCCAGTGACTCCAGGACAGATACCTTCTTTCCTGTTTAGTAACACAGTTCTGGCAGGTTGTGTGTGCTCTCCGAGGTCATCTGTAGCATAAATGGCTGGTATTCTCATGTTGGTGCAAAGCATTCACAAAAGATCCTCCACCCAGTAAAAGTGCAAGTCCGTGGAAACGGATGGCTTTGCTCCCGTGAAGTGGGAGGGACAGGTAGAATGGTGCTGCCTAGAGTTCCTCTTTTCTTCTAAGACACTTGCAATATGCCACAAAAATGTAAAGCCCTTGCCATTTGCTAGAATTTTATCTGTGCAATAGAATAACAGAAAAATCTAATCGTATTTGGGGTTTGTTTTTTTTTTTTTAGAGTACTATTTAATACATGAGCATAAAGTAATTTGATTACAATTCATAGTTTTCCTTGGGAAGAGAGTACTTCTGGCAGTAATAGTATGAAGAGAGCTTTGGAATACAGACCATTGTTTTGTGTGCATCTGCTTATATAATGGAGTGATAATATCATTGTATTGCTCCCAAACATTTCCACAGTTAATCATAATAGAACTAGACGCAGCTTCCCACTATTGTCTGTTAATAATTGACAATAATAATCAAAAGCCAATCAAGTAGCCTCTGTTGTATTAGCAGTCAAGACAGGTTTAAATTACCTCTGCTGCCTTCTTGAGGGTAACTTGATTTTCCACCACCCTTTGTCACGTTGAAAAAATAGATTATAACAACTCCTGTCATCTCCTCTGCTGCGGTGCTGCCACGGGTCTGGCCTGTGAGCGCTCTTCGGGTAGATCACATGGCTTACTTTTGGAGGGCTAACATCATTGTTTTTATTTCCAAACAGAGGGAATTTCCAAAGTTCTTCACGTTCCGTGCCCGGGATAAGGTAAGTTGTATATTCTTAATACTTTTCTCTAAGCTTTGTCTTTATCCTTCTGTCAGGTAGCTCTTCATTGCCAGTCTAAGAGGGTGGGAGCTGCTTCAGCCCAACTTCACTGCCTAGTGTGGTGCTGTCTCCTCCCTCGCTAGGCCAGTTGTCTGCACACGCAGCAATTGAAGTCAGTGACGATGAGTCTCTGATACTTGGGGGGGTTAAAAATCCGTGTGTTTGGAAGCCTGACCTGAAGCTGTTGTTTGTGCAGGTTTTAGTCGCGGTGTAATAGGGAAGCATTGGAAGCAGTGCAGTGATTCAGTACCAAACTTTCTGGCTTCTGCGAAAAAGAGGGGTTCGGGGGGCGGGGGTTGAGCTTGAGAACTTGCCATCTTGCAGTTTGTCTTGCAGTATTTCAACAATGTCAACACAGCCCTTAGTGCTAATGACTCTGCATAAGTTAGGAAATTCTGGGCTGGATTCATTTGAATTCTCAGTTTTTAAATTAAATACAAAATTTCATAAGGGATGTTGTCTAGTTCTTCCTATCCTCAGTGATTCAGCTTCTTAACCCACCCTCCTCTTTTCCACCCTTTTCTGCCTGTATGACACCTCCAGTTTGAGGAAGACAGGATTTACCGTCACCTGGAGCCAGCTCTGGCTTTTCAGCTAGAGCTGAACCGAATGCGAAACTTCGATCTCACTGCCATTCCATGTGCCAATCACAAAATGCATCTCTACCTGGGAGCAGCTAAAGTGGAAGTGGGCACAGAGGTGACAGACTACAGGTTCTTCGTGAGGGCCATTATAAGGCACTCAGATCTGGTTACCAAGGTGAGTTTTGTCACCCGTGCAAGGCCTCGTTCCATGATGGTGTGTGAAACACGCTAAGTCATTCTGAGAACCTGTCCACAAAGGCGTTACCTGTACAGAGCACTGGACACCTGCCCTCTCTCTGCTGGTCCTGGCTCTGCAGAAGAGTTAGTATTCTTATGCTTCAGGGAGACTTTTCTGTGGCCCGAGCAGATAGTCAAAAGTCCTTGCATTTTGAGGCAAGAGTTATTTCTCTGTGTTTCTCCTGCACTGCCTGGTTTGCCCTGTCTAGTTTGGGATTTATGCTGACCTAAACGAGGGCACAAGTCCGCTGCGTCTGCGAATCCAGGCAGTGGGAGTACTGGCTTTGAGATTGGGATGGATCTGCTTCAGGGTTGCGCATCCTGCTCGAACCAGTGTAACCTATCTCCTCGGTCAAGTCCTCCTGCACTTAGCAAACACTGTATTCTTGGGCTGTGATGTTTGAGTAGAAAGTTAACGGTTTGTTGACAACATCTGGCAGGAAGCCTCCTTTGAGTACCTGCAAAATGAGGGAGAACGATTGCTTCTGGAAGCCATGGACGAGTTGGAGGTGGCGTTTAATAACACCAACGTGCGCACTGACTGCAATCACATCTTCTTAAATTTCGTGCCTACTGTCATCATGGACCCGTCTAAGGTATGATCTCTTCCCTGGCTCTGAACTGTTTGGTTTTCTTGGGCTTGACTCACCAGAATTAAATGGTCTTTTGTTGCCTTTTTATGCTGTGTAAGTGCCCCTATTGCTTGACTACATTTGAATACCGTTTGGTGACTGACATGCGGTTTCTACTAGTCATGTTGTAACAGAAAGCATGAGAAATTGGGGACCAGTATTGCAAGTGGTAACTTGAGGGTCAGTTTAATTACTCTACAAATACTGGAGATTGCTTCTCAGTAAAGAAAGTGGAGTCACCTAACTGATAGATGTCTCTAACTGAAGATCACTTGTTGAGCTGCTAAACCAAGTTCTCTTCAAAAGCAGAGAGAATACTTTTTTATTTTAGCTAGTTAAGACATGGCAAACAATTAGTTTGTTTCATGTTAAGACCCTGTTTGGCAGTGAGGAAGGGAGAAAGCTTTGGTTTTTCTTCCAATCTATCAATAAATATTAAATGTGAGATTTCAGAACGAGCAGAGCTCATATTTTTAGTGGAGTAACACTGTCCTTCAGGCAGTGCAGCTTGCTTCCTCTGTGTAAACTAAGCAGCAGTTTATTAGAAATATGTTTTGTATTTGAAACTAAACTTATTTTTTCATTGTGTGTTTGGGATAAACGATTTTAATAAGGAAATAGCTTTAAATGCTCTTCTGTTTGTTACAAAAGTCCGGCTTCTATCCAAATAAAACGTGAGATAAATCATGAACTTAAAAAGAATTTGTAAATTCAGCTACAAAAAGAAGTGCCTCATTTTCATTCCCTGGTACAAAACCAGAGATCAACATTATATAAATAAATGAACGTTAAGCTTTGTAGATGCATAAATGAAAGTGTTTAGGCATGAAGCATGTTTCTGGTTAGCGGAAGCACCACAAAGAAAGTCCCAAATAAACTGTAAAGGCTGCATTTAGTTGGAAATCAACATTCTGTTCATGGTTACTGAAAGCTGAGAGCTGACCTTTCCTTATGAGAATAACTGAAAGTTTAAAAAGATGAATTGGTTATCAAAATAAGTATCTCTTGCTTGCTGACTTTTAAATAATGATTAAAAATTGGTGGCTTAAATTGCTTCTGAATAAATCCTCTCTTGGCACATCCAAAATCTTTACTTCCCGGGAAGTTCAGAGGAAGCTGGGATATTCAACCCCTGGAAGTTAGGCTGCCCTCAAATGCCTACCGTGACTTTTCCCTGAGCTGCTGTGGAAAAGAGACTTTTTATTTTTTGAAAGAATGTTAAAAACAGCCTATAAATTGCCTTCTTTTAATATGCGCTATTTTCCAACAGTAGTATATTATAAAGTTTAATAGAACACCAGAAGGCCAAGCTCCAAGTAGTAATTGCTTTGTTGATTTAAAGCACCGTACTGCATGTGTGGTGAAACATGATTATTGTGCGTATAAGTGCTACGTAACTGTTTGTCAAGGATTTCGCTTTCCTGCGTTTTGTGGTTCTTAGCTGTGAGCTATGCCTGCAGGAAGAAAGGCAGGTGAAGGGGAGCAGCGGGCACGCCGTGCCTCGCTGGGGTGTGATGTGCCGTGGGGAAGAGGGCTGCGAATCCAGGCCTGTCCCTCTGCCTGAGCAGTGCCCAGGTGGATGGAGCTCAGCTCCTGCCTCCCTCGAGGCTCGTTCCGGTGAGACGGGACAGGCTGCCCACGTCCCGGAACAGCACCGGGCACGGGCTGCCCTTTGGTGCTTCCACCTCTCCTGCCTGCTGGGGTGCCCCTCTGAGCAGGCTCCTACAGCCGCGGGATGGAGGGTGGCAGAGCAGTGGTGGTGTCCGGAAGGGTGAGGGAAATCTTCCGATGTGTTCTAAGATCGAAGAATCCGTGCGGAGCATGGTGATGCGCTACGGGAGTCGCCTGTGGAAGCTGCGCGTCCTCCAAGCCGAGCTGAAGATCAACATCCGTTTGACACCGACCGGGAAGGCGATTCCCATTCGGCTCTTCCTGACCAACGAGTCGGGCTATTATTTGGACATCAGCCTGTACAAGGAAGTGACAGACTCCAGAACAGCACAGGTATGCTTCCGTATGGCTCCCTGCTTGGATGAGCAAATGATCTGGGGGGACACGTTATACCCGATGAAGCTCTCGTGTAGGTTCGTGAAGTTTTCAGGTCGTATAAAATTGCCACTCAACTTTGCGGAAGGAAGGAGAATGTCAAGATAATCTTGCAGTAGGCGTGCAGGTGTGCAAAATGTAATCGGTTGTGTAAAAGTGCATGTCTTGTGATCGCTTGGTGTGTACCTCCAGTTATTTGTACATCTGCTTTCCTCTGTGTGCAGAGTGCTCAGAAAAGGAATAGAAGGGCAATCACTGTTGGTGCTCATCCTGGAGGTCGTAATAAAAAATATTGTTAATTATACCTTTCACTGAGTAGATAGAGAAAAATCTGTGAACTTTTCTTTTAAATTCTAGAGATATAGGGAATGACCTGGGTAGGATGATATAAAATTATTGAAGGTGCTTTTATATCATTTTTATGAAGCATAATGGGCTCTTTTGTAACGGTTGTGGCTATTCTGGTATTTCTGCTTTTCATGGCGTAGGAATAGTGTGGTTAACTGAAATACCTACATATGCTAAAATACATGGAGCATAGGATGCATGAAAAATATTTAAATACAGAAATGTTTACATCTCCCTCTGTAATAATCTCTCTGCCATACAGTAGTAGCAGCAGAATAAATCACTCGAGCACCATTAATGTTGAACACAAAGTGCTGAGTCACCTTTTCTCCCCCTCTTCTCCATTTAAATTTTTCCAGCGAGCTGCCTGGCCTTACAGTCCATCCAGTTCTGGAGATCCTAGAACAGATAGTGTCTGTATGTTTTACTTCAGTTCTGCCTCTGAGTGGAGATGAGGAAAGAAAAGAACATTTTAATAATCTCCAGTAGCTGAGTTTAACCCTTGAGTTCTGTTAGGCATTTGTGAAGGTCACCTTTCCTCTTACACTCTGTCTCTGATGAGCTTTGTTATTTTAAAGCTAGGGGAATGTGCTTGTGTGTGTACGGCTTTTAGCAACTTTTCCAATATTTGATTTTTTTTTTTAAATTTGCTTCCCCCCCCCCCCC